TAACGAGGGAGGATGGAGAAAGGAGTGATGATGATGATGCCGCTGATTATGATGCGGATGACGATGATGATGCTGATGCTGGTGATAATGATGATGATGGTGATGCTGCTGCTGCTGCTGCTGCTGATAAAGATGATGATGATGGTGATGATGATGATACAGAAGAGGATAAGAAGGAGGAGGAGGAGGAGGAAGAGGAGAAGGAGGAGGAAGAGGGAAAAAGAGGAATAGGATGAGGAGAAGGAGAAGGAGCAGAAAAGGAGAAGCACGAGGAGGATACGGAGGAAGAGGAAGAGAGTGGAGGAAGAAGGCAGGGGACGGAAGAGTAGGAGTAGGATGAGGAGGAAGACGAGAAGGAGGAGAAGGAGGAGGAAGACGGGGAGGAACACGAGGAGGAGGAAGAGGAAGAGGAAGAGGTGGAGAAGGAAGGAGATGGGACGAGTGGGGAGGGAGGAGGGAGAAGGGATGAGGATGAGGCGGAGGGGGAGGAGGAGGAAGGGGAGAGGGAGGAGGATGAGGAGGCGGATGAGGAGGAGGAGGAGGCGGAGGAGGAGGAGCTGGGGGAGGACACGGAGGAACACGAGGAAGTGGAGGAGGGGGAGGAGGGAGGAGGGAAAAGGGAGGACCCAGGCCAGCTGCCGCCAGCCCCCACGCGCGGGCCTGGCCTGGCCCCCCTTGTGGGGAACAGAGATTGTGGCAGCGTTCGATGTGCTTGCGTACCACTCGCAGCCCGAGCCACGCCTGCCCACCCCCTGGCCACTGCGCAGCGATCCCTAGGATCGATGTCCAGGGGCTTCGGGGCTTGAGCCACACGTGTATTCTTATAATTGCTCGAGCGATTCTTTGTTAGTCGTTCGTTTGCATTGGAGGTGCTATTCCTCGGGGGCTCGAACCGCCAGGCTCGGAGTGGAGCGCGCAGGTGGCCCTGTTGGCCCCGAGACTGGTAGAGAGAAAGCCCACGCATGCGCCTCGTACAAGATATGTAACGGGCTCCATCCCAATGCGAGTGGAGTGGCCTTGCCATCTGACACATATAGCGTGCTTTAGTCATGCAGCGCACGGCCGTGCTCAAAACAAAAAAACATTCAGTAAAGTACAGCATACTTCCTGAGGAGGCCCAGCAGGCACGGAGGAAAGCACGTGCACTCCCCTCGGGACAGCCTGCTGGTCGCCAACAAGCGGCCTGCTGATGGATCCTGGAATGCGCACCTCGGCTCCAGCGAGTGGAACATGCATGTGGCGAGACCTACACTCCTGAATCTGGTGGAAGCGGCATCACGCCCCCCACTCGCGTCGACAAATACCGAAAGAGGCAATCATCACAACCCTGGCCTAAACCGCCAAGTCCCAG